TCCTGTTTCCCCGATCCTTTTTAAAATCACTCTTTGTCTATTCTCAGATTTTCCTTCTTCATTTTCTCTTTAAGTGAAAGTATTTTCTAATCTTCTTACTTCCATTTTTTCTTTTTATTATGTCATAACTACTCACTAAACATTCTGACAATTGAGCTTCAAAACTTGAACCTAGGTTAGACCTTTCTCTTGAGAGCCAGACTTGAATTTTTAAGTTCCTTGTGGGTGCTTACACTTGGATACCTTACAACATTTTCAATCAATAAGTCTGAAATCTGACTCATCAGCATCTCCCTGAACTACTCCTAAATCCTCGCTGTTTTATAGTAACTGTATTTTCCCATCAACCTGGCTCAAATCACAAGAGACTTATTCTATTTTTCTTCCTTCTTTCAGATCTCTTTACTGGTATTCCAGTTCTAACGAATCAAACTCAAAAAACTGTCATGGGCATGCCTTGGATTCAATGTTGATTCCATTGTCCTAATTTAAGGTTTTTATTTTTAAGTTTTAAATTTTAAACTATATTAAATAATCTTTGTATTATCCCATAAAACTTATATACATGATTATGAAACTTTGCAAAAGCCTTTAATGTACTTTGTGGTTTATAGAAAAATATCTAAACTTCTTCTTAGAAGTTGACCAGTATCTACAATCTGTCTCCTTCCTGCATCTATAAATTCAGCCATCCCTATATCCCCCTGTGCTTTAATCATGTCAGATCCCATGTTGTGGCCCAGAGTACATTGACATTTCTGAATCTTCATTTCCCGCATGCTAGGTGATCTCCCCATAGCACAATTTCTCCTATAGACAAAAGTTTCTAAGATCAAGTTCAAATGCTGCTTTTCCTAAAAAATCGTCCCAGTCCTTCCAGATGGTACTTCATAGGTAGACTTCTCTTCCTCCCTTGGACACTCATAGTTGTGTACTATGTCTCCTATCCCAGCATATTTACTTATATTTTTGTCTTTTTACTATACAGCAGGATACTTGCTCTTATATATTTTTTATCCTAACACTATATCAAGTACCTAAATGCTTTCAAGCTTATGGATGAAACAATATTGATTGCACAGATGATTAAATCAGCAGTAGAAGATCCTCAGTAAATATTCTGTCAAGTGGTAAAATTCTATAACATAATGTTCCATAAAATCCTCTGATATTTACTATAAAATCAATGAGGAATTACAATAACTTTTAAAGTCATATATATATGGTTCAGAAAACTAATTTCAAAGTGACAGATTTTCTCATGAGCCAGACTGGTGAATGAGTTCTTATTAGAGGGAGATGTTACTGCTATTTGGTTATGGTATCTATTTGCTCACTATCAGGCCCTTTCATAATCAAAGGAGAAAAGACAAACAAAAATGCTTACCAGGCCAAAGTTACTTCTACTTGTGGAAAACATATGCTTTTAGTAGACAGTAAAGAGGAAAATTTCCTCAGAGCATTGTTCCAGTCACTATTTCACATAGCTTTTTCATTCAACAAAAACATTCAAATGGTTAGGAAATATTTTAGGAGAATAATAACATTCTGTTCACAGGAGCCTATGCTGTAAAATTGCTTCTTATACAATCTGATACATTTTTTGTGGTTGTAATTTAGTTTTGTACACATTAGGTATGCAAAAATTCAGAGGAATGCATTGTCACATTATGGCTCCATGAGCCATCAAATTATTTGGCAGTCATTGAGTTTATTTATCCAGAAATAACTAGAAATGTTAGTTTGACATTGAGACATTGATATAACGATTTTTAAATAAGCACTTATTTATATATTAATTTTTTTTAAATAATGTTAACTCATTTTTTCTTAAGAGGAAATAATAAATATCTATCTAAATAATTTACTTCTTTATGAATGTCAATGGATTTCTATGTTTCTTCTATTGCTAAAAAGAAGAAATTTCTGATATCTTTATATTAGCTTAGGCCTAAATATTTTCCTCTTTAAAATGAAAGATAAAGAAATTAGCAATGTCAAAGGCAGTTATATTTCACTCGATTTTCCAGGGTTGAACTATGTCTAAAAAAGACTGTTACTGTAAATAATTTGAGTAACCCAACTCTGAATTTGTTGATTAAACTCTTCCTAAATTATCTTTAGAAAATGTAAAGCAAGTGTCCAAATCTGTAGTTGTGTCACATATTTGGCTATGACTAAATTTAAAATTTAAATAAACTTTGCAAAAACAGTCATGCAACATCACCCTTCCAATCTATGTGAAAAACGGGCTGTTGTGAGAATGTCATTGGATTTGCATCTCCTCAGAACAGTATTTCAACAGATAGACCAGTTGGAAGCTCTTCATTATAGCATCTGCTCTGTGTTTATAGCTACATATGCAGATTGCTGAGCACACTCAGTGCACCATCAATGCAGGAACTGCACATCCAGAATGGTAATAAACTCATTGATGATACATTCTCTAGCACTTTCAACCCCTTGCTTCACTTGGCAAAACTCTGCCAGACTTTTATCGCAGCAGAAAATATTAGATTTGCTTGTGAATTTTGTAACTTTGGAAAACAAACCAGGAAAACATAAATGGCAATAAAAGAAAGGTTAAAACATAGAAGCTGAGATTATTGTTATATTTTAAAATTACAGTCTCACAGAGCATCAAAATAAATAAGAAAAATGAGTAAACAAATGATTGCTTTCCACACAAGTTGACCTCTATGGGTCAACTCTTTTTCATGGTGATACAAATTGTACTAAGAAAGATGCATGTTATAATGGTTAATTAGAACTATATTCACAACAGAGTAATCTGATAATGTTTGATAAATTAAAGTTAATAGTTAAACAATTTGCTGGTAAAACTTGTACTCCCAAGAGAATCAAATCAGTTAATTGAGATAAGCCAATTTTTCTCTCAAATGCAAAATCTAAAATGAAATTAATTTCTAAGTTCATAAAGGTGAAAAGCATTTTCTAGATTACAGGGAAAGCAGTTCAGGTATGGGAAAATGGTCCAAACCTACAGCAATGTCTGGCTGCTGGAGAAGGGCTACACATCACCAAAGTAATGTCAGGTAGCTCCCTCTCAGCTCCACAGCAAGCACTGTGTATGACTCTTTAGTCACAGTTCTCCTGGAAAGGTGGCCCCATTTATCTGTCAACCACTGGGAGAGCTTTCAAGATGCACATTCCTGGGCACTGAACAGGAGATCTTAATTTTTATAGGTTCTCAGAAACAACTTTCAGAAATGACTCATGACCAAAATCATGTACAAATTTCTTAAGAACCAAAATGAAGGCAGAAAAGTTAGAAACATGGAACGAGATGTCGTGGATGACTGAATGGAACCCTTATGACACCATATACCATTCAGAACAGGGAATCCCAAGGAACATTACAGTTTAAAGAGTATCTTCCTTCTTTTAGTTTGGTTTCTCTCATTCCTTTCCTCTTAATAAAATGCCAGGATGCCATTTTACATATGTGCACTGTAACTATATGGGTTATTTCTCTTTTTTCTTTCATGATCAGGCACTGATGTTTCTCTTTCATGCTAAAACGCCTTCCAGGATGCTACAAAGAAATTCATGGCAAAGGTGAAGAAGTTATCAGAAGCTTTTATGAGCATTATCTGGTAAAGAAGTTGAAATTGATTCAGTGAGAAACTAAAGCACAAATTATTGGCTTCATCCTTGTGTTGATAAAACTTAGGATGTCTTTGCTTCAAATAATAGTAACTAATGGATTTAAAAACTTTTTTTCTAAGACTTTCTCATTATACTCACAAGTGATTGATTTTTTTAAACGTGCTCATGTTGGACATGACAAATAAACATATAAAACCCAGAATTTTAGTGCATGCAAATTTTTGATATATGTTAAGAAATTTCATTCCAGTTTCAGACTAGGCAAAGAATGGCTAAGTGGATCATATTTAAGTAACGCAAATGAACATCAGCTTAGTTTTCCTGATCTAAACAGTAGAGGAAAATAACATCCATCACACTTACCTTGCTTACTGACCGAAGTAAATAAAATTTATAAAATTTTTATTTTATAAATGATATATATGTTTTAATTGTTACAAATAAAATTTTCACTTTCAGAGGATCATTTTAAAGAATAAAATCATCCTAATAGGAAATTGCTTACTTTTTGTGTAATTCAATTACCTTTAAAACTTCAGGTTCTAAAGTATCTGTGTCATTTTTAAACTGTAAATGGAATTGAAATTTGTTTTCATGGGTCTCAGAAAAATGACACATGAAAATATTTAACATGCTTCATCTTAAAACAAAATTAGTAGGAAACTGCTCAAAAGAATTACCAGAACATAAATCATCTGGACTTTTAAGTTCGGTGTCATTGCCTTTATCTGGTTGCTTGTTTATGTTTAGCTTTTGAGACTAAGAAATCATTCTGATTATGGCCTTGAAGTAGAGATAACCCAATTCAGGTGAAGCATTTTGGAACACCTGTCTTACAACATGCATTACAGTTTAATAAATAAGAGAGCTATGATAAGGCTGTCACTTAAAGGACTTTTTTTCAAGACAGTGTGGCTCTTAGTTGCAGTCCAATTTTGAAATGGAAATTTCCTCAGGGTGCTTAATTTCTTGCCCTCCACCCCAGATCAGTTATGATGTGGTTCCAGAATGATAATAAATCTGAAACTGTCTTCAAGCATGGTCTAAACTGTAAATTAGAATAGTGTTTGCATCTCTGACTCAGACCAAAGAGGTGTGTTGATGCTCCATTAGAGGCAGGACCCATATAAAAGGAAAAACACCACTGGCAGAACGGCAGTTGTGCTTCAGTTCATTGTTGCTTCATGGTCCTTGCTCTTTCAAAGGAATGAAAGCAAAGAGGATTTTTAGCTCTGTATTGCTACAACAGAATTTGAGATTTGAAAAAAGAGGAAAAGAGAGAAAAATTTTGAGAAAGTAGAGAGAAACAATTTGGACAAATGAGAGAGAGAGAGAGAGAGAGAGAGAGAGAATGGCCCAGATCAGACAACTCACTTGGCGTTCCCTGCCCCTGGCTTCTTTCTTCGGAAAATATTGAGGAAAGCGTTGGAGCGGCAGGGCAGCTTGCCATCTCCCACATGCATGCGGACCACATCAGAGGTGGTGAAGGCACTGCGTACATTCCTCTCGGGCTTGGCGATAATGATGTACATCTTGGGAGTGAACATGCACCCCAGGGCCACCGTCACACTGAGGCTCACTGCAAAGCAGGTAGTGATGATCTTGTAGTTGCTCCCAAAGTAAATGGGCACGAAAGCTAACCAGATGATGCAGGTGGTGTACATGGTGAAGGCGATATATTTGGCCTCGTTGAAGTTGGCGGGCACATTGCGGGTCTTGAAGGCATAGTAGGTACAGCTCATGATGAGGAGTCCATTGTAGCCTACAGGGGCCACCACACCCAGGTTGCTGGTATTGCAGATAAGATAGACTTCCTTGATACTTGGGTAGGACAGAATGGGCATGGGAGGCTCCATGATGATCAAGGTGACCACCAGGGTTAGTTGCACACTGATCAGAATTGAGGCAATGATCACCTGGGCCCAAGCACTCAGAACTGGGTTTGCGGTAAGATTTTCTTCTTGCTGCCAGCCAGGATGCGTGCAATACGATTGGTTTTGGTCACTAAAGCAGAGTAGCACATGGCAGAGGAGAGGCCAACGAGGAGGCGCTGGAGGTAGCAGGATGTGGTAGTAGGTTTGGCAATGAGAGTGAAAGGGCACACGTAACCGAGGAAGATGCCAGCTAGGATGATGTAGCAGAGTTCTCGACTGGAGGATTTGACCACAGGAGTGTCCCGGTATAGCACAAAGATGAGGGTCACAAACAAGGTAACGAGGATGCCCAGGCAAGAAAAGACGATGGCTATGATGGATTCTATGTTGCTCCACTCAAGATAGCGGACAGGAATGGGCTCACAGCCTGTGATGAGAAAAGTTGTGGGGCGTGAGAGTCTGAGATTTCAGCTGAGCAATATTGACATTGCTTACACTGCTATATTTACTTCATTCATGATTTTCATTGCTTTATGTTATTTTAAAAATTGATAATATTATACAAAGAAAAATACTCATCTTCTTTTCCTTGAGCAGTCATGCCCCCAGGCCTAATCTCATTGCAAGCCTAGGCATTTTGACCTATAAAAATGATATTTTCTTTTTATACTGGCACTCTATTGATAGAATTTAAAAATTTTTGAAAAAAAGAAAGGGGAAAAAAAAACCCTTGTGTTTATAGTGATGGTCAAGTGGTAATAACATAAAAAATACATTAGTAAGAATAACCTAGTAGGCCAGGCCTGTAATCCTAGCTACCAGGGAGGCAGAGATCAGGAGGATGGTGTCTGAAGACCAGCCCTGGCAAACAGTTAGAGAGACCCCCATCTCAACCAACAAGTTTGTTGTGATGGTATCCACCAGTAGTCTTAGCTACACTAGAGTGTGGGTAGGAGGATCAAAGTCCCAGCCTGCCCCAAGAAAAAATTAAGACCATAGCTGAAAAATAGCGAAATCAAAAAAGGGCTGGGAAGTTCGATTCAAATGGTAGAATGCCTGGCTAACAAGCGTGAGGTCCTGTACTGCCAAAATAAAGAAGTAAACTAGTAATTTTTAACATTTTATGCAGTCATTTTCTATAGGCAAGTATAGCTCATAGACAAATTATGGCCAGCAGAGTATTTTACCCATAAATTTAATTAGAATTTGGTAGAAGAATCTCTATTCTCTTGTTTACCCAATATTCTATGTCATTTGCTTAAAATCCCTTTAGTAATCCATGATCTGTACCTGGCATTTGCAGTCCTTTGAATTAATACTCTCTAATAGACATACCAAAATGAATGAAATCTCTCCCACCCATCCCTTGAAAGAAGAGACCAAAATTGAATTTCTAAATGTCTAGCTTATGTTTTCCCCTATAGATGGAGAATAAAATCTGTTTAGTATTTCACAGTGAGGGTGTCTGGAGACATCCTCTTCACAGGATTTTATGATTGATCTGGCTAGTATTTCCCAAATTGTGAAAGTAAAAACATTTCCATAAATTTAGGAAAAAGCTCATTGTTCTATAACCCTGTCAGCAAGGAAACACCAGGCTGGTTTTAAGCCCATTCAGTCAATCAATATCAACCTGCCTCAGTGAACATGTCTTTTCATGCCAACCAACAAGAGTTAGCCCTTGCTTCTGATTGTCACCCACCTGGGAACACACTCACTTCAATAAATGAATGCCAGTTGGTCAACAACAGTCTCACGTGAGTATCATATTTCTACAACTGATGTTAACAAGATCATGCTCTGAAAGTTTATCAATCCCTAAACCAAATATTTTATTTTATTTTTAATTTTTATTTTATTCATATGTGCATACAATGTTTAGGTCATTTATTCCCCCTGCCCCACCCCCTCCCTTACCACCCATCCCCCCTCTCCTCCCCACCCCTTTGCTACCCGGCAGAAACTATTTTGCCCTTATTTCTAATTTTGTTAAAGAGAGAGTATGAGCAATAATAGGAAGGAAGAAGGGTTTTTGCTAGTTGAGATAAGGATAGCTATACAGGGAGTTGACTCGCATTAATTTCCTGTGCGTGTGTGTTACCTTCTAGGTTAATTCTTTTTGATCTACCCTTTTCTCTAGTTTCTGGTCCCCTTTTCCTATTGGCCTCAGTTGCTTTAAAGTATCTGTTTTAGTTTCTCTGCATTGAGGGCAACAAATGCTAGCTAATTTTTTAGGTGTCTTACCTATCCTCACCCCTCCCTTGTGTGCTCTCGCTTTTATCATGTGCTCAAGTCCAATCCCTTGTTGTGTTTGCCCTTGATCTAATGTCCACATATGAGGGAGAACATACGATTTTTGGTCTTTTGGGCCAGGCTAACCTCACTCAGAATGATGTTCTCCAATTCCATCCATTTACCAGCGAATGATAACATTTCGTTCTTCTTCATGGCTGCATAAAATTCCATTGTGTATAGATACCACATTTTCTTAATCCATTCGTCAGTGTGGGGCATCTTGGCTGTTTCCATAACTTGGCTATTGTGAATAGTGCCGCAATAAACATGGTGTGCAGGTGCCTCTGGAGTAACCTGTGTCACAGTCTTTTGGGTATATCCCAAGAGTGGTATTGCTGGATCAAATGGTAGATCAATGTCTAGCTTTTTAAGTAGCCTCCAAATTTTTTTCCAGAGTGGTTGTACTAGTTTACATTCCCACCAACAGTGTAAGAGGGTTCCTTTTTCCCCCATCCTCGCCAACACCTGTTGTTGGTGGTGTTGCTGATGATGGCTATTCTAACAGGGGTGAGGTGGAATCTTAGTGTGGTTTTAATTTGCATTTCCTTTATTGCTAGAGATGGTGAGCATTTTTTCATGTGTTTTTTGGCCATTTGAATTTCTTCTTTTGAGAAAGTTCTGTTTAGTTCACTTGCCCATTTCTTTATTGGTTCATTAGTTTTGGGAGAATTTAGTTTTTTAAGTTCCCTATATATTCTGGTTATCAGTCCTTTGTCTGATGTGTAGCTGGCAAATATTTTCTCCCACTCTGTAGGTGTTCTCTTCAGTTTAGAGACCATTTCTTTTGTTGAGCAGAAGCTTTTTAGTTTTATGAAGTCCCACTTATGTATGCTATCCCTTAGTTGCTGTGTTGCTGGGGTTCTATTGAGAAAGTTCTTACCAATACGTACTAATTCCAGAGTATTTCCTACTCTTTCCTGTATCAACTTTAGAGTATGGGGTCTGATATTAAGATCCTTGATCCATTTTGAGTTAGTATTGGTATAGGGTGATACACATGGATCTAGTTTCAGTTTTTTGAAGTCTGCTAACCAGTTTTCCCAGCAGTTTTTGTTGAAGAGACTGTCTTTTCTCCATCGTATATTTTTAGCACCTTTGTCAAAGACAAGTTGCTTATAGTTGTGTGGCTTCATATCTGGGTCCTCTATTTTGTTCCACTGGTCTTCATGTCTGTTTTTGTGCCAGTACCATGCTGTTTTTATTGCTATTGCTTTGTAATATAGTTTGAAGTTGAGTATTGTGATACCTCCAGCATTGTTCTTTTTACTGAGTATTGCCTTGGCTATTCGTGGCCTCTTGTGTTTCCATATAAATTTAATGGTAGAGTTTTCAATCTCTTTGATGAATGTCATTGGAATTTTGATGGGAATTGCATTAAACTGTAGATTACTTTTGGGAGTATTGACATTTTTACTATGTTGATTCTACCAATCCATGAGCATGGGAGATCTCTCCACTTTCTATAGTCTTCCTCTATCTCTTTCTTCAGAAGTTTATAGTTTTCCTTATAGAGGTCATTCACATCCTTTGTTAGGTTTACACCTAGGTATTTGATTTTTTTTGAGGTTATTGTAAAAGGAATTGTTTTCATACATTCTTTTTCAGTTTGTTCATTATTAGTGTATAGAAATGCTAGCGATTTTTCTATGTTGATTTTATATCCTGCTACCTTGCTATAGCTATTGATGGTGTCTAGGAGTTTTTGAGTAGAGTTCTTTGGGTCTTTAAGGTATAGGATCATGTCATCTGCAAATAGGGATATTTTGACAGTTTCTTTACCTATTTGTATTCCTTTTATTCCTTCTTCTTGCCTAATTGCTCTGGCTAGGAATTCCAGTACTATGTTGAATAGGAGTGGAGATAGTGGGCATCCTTGTCTCGTTCTTGATTTTAGAGGGAATGATTTCAGTTTTTCTCCATTAAATATAATGCTGAATGTAGGTTTGTCATATACAGCTTTTATAATGTTGAGGTACTTTCCTTCTATTCCTAGTTTTCTTAGAGCTTTTATCATGAAATGGTGTTGGATCTTATCAAAGGCTTTTTATGCATCTATTGAGATGATCAAGTGGCTTTAGTCTTTGCTTCTTTTAATGTGGTTTATTACGTTTATTGATTTTCATATGTTGAACCACCCCTGCATTCCTGGAATGAAGCCTGCTTGGTCATGATGAATAATCTTTTTGATGTGTTGTTGAATTCAATTTGCCATTATTTTGTTGAGGATTTTTGCATCTATATTCATTTAGGAGATTGGCCTATTGGTCTCCTTTTTGGAGGTGTCTTTGCCTGGTTTTGGGATAAGTGTAATACTGGCTTCATAAAATGTGTTTGGCAGTTTTCCTTCCCTTTCTATTTTGTGGAACAGTTTAAGGAGGGTTGGTATCAGTTCTTCTTTAAAGGTCTGATAGAATTCAGCAGAGAATCCATCAGGTCCTGGACTTTTCTTTTTGAGGAGACTCTTGATTGCTGCTTCAATTTCTTTTGGTGTTATAGATCTATTCAGGTGATTAATATCCTCTTGGTTCAGTTTTTGATGATCATATGTATCTAGAAATCTGTCCATTTCTTTAAGATTTTCAAATTTATTTGAATATAGGTTCTCAAAGTAGTCTCTGATGATTTCCTGGACTTCCATGGTGTTTGTTGTTATCTCCCCTTTTGCATTCCTGATTCTACTAATTTGGGTTTTTTCTCTCTTCATTTTAGTCAGGTTTGCCAGCGGGTCTGTCAATCTTGTTTATTTTTTCAAAGAACCAAGTTTTTGTTTCATTAATTCTTTGTATGGTTTTTTGGTTTCTATTTTGTTGGTTTCAGCTCTCATTTTTATTATTTCTCTCCTTCTGTTTTGGGATTTTCTTGTTCTTGTTTTTCTAGGAGTTTGAGATGTATCATTAGGTCATTGACTTGGGATCTTTCAGTCTATTTAACATATGCAGTCATGGCTATAAACTTTCCTCTCAGACTGCCTTTGCTGTGTCCCATAGGTTCTGGTAGGGTGTGTTTTCATTTTTTTGACTTCCAGGGACTTTTTAATTTCCTCTTTTATTTCATCAATGACCCTTTGGTCATTAAGTAATGAGTTATTCAGTTTCCAGCTGTTTGCATGTTTTTTGTCTTTACTTTTATTGTTGAGTTCTAATTTTGTTGCATTGTGATCCAATGGAATGCATGGTATAATTTCTATTTTCTTATATTTGCTGAGGCTTGCTTTGTGCCGTAGGATATGATCTATTTTGGAGAAAGTTCCATGGGTTGCTGAGAAGAATGTATATTGTGTAGAAGTTGGATGAAATGTTCTGTAGACATCAAGTAGGTACATTTGATCTATGGTATGTTTTAGATCTTGGATTTCTTTATTGATTTTTTGTTTGGATGACCTATCTATTGATGATAATGGGGTGTTAAAGTATCCCACAACCACTGTGTTGGAGTTAATATATGCTTTTAGGTCTTTCAGAGTATGTTTGATGAAATTGGGTGCATTGACATTGGGTGCATATAGATTGATAATTGTTATTTCCTTTTGATCTATTTCCCCTTTTATTAGTATGGAATGTCCTTCTTTATCTCATTTGATCAATGTAGATTTGAAGTCTACTCTGTCAGAGATAAGTATTGTTACTCCTGTCTGTTTTCGGGGACCATTGGCTTGGTAAATCTTCTTCCAGCCTTTCATCCTAAGCCTATGCTTATTTCTGTCATTGAGATGGGTCTTCTGTAAGGAACAAATTTTGGATCTTCCTTTTTAATCAGTTTATCAAATGGTGACTTTTGATAGGGGAATTAGGTCCATTAACATTAAGTGTTAGTACTGATAGGTATGTGGTGATTCCTGTCATTTAGTTGTCTTAGTTGTTTGAAGTTTGATTGTGTGTACCTAAGTTGAGGTCACTCTCTACCTTCTTGCTTTTTCTTTTCCTGTAGTTTGGTGCTGCCTGTCCTTTCATGGTTAAGTTGGGTTTCACTTTCTGTGTGCAGAATCCTTTGAAGAATCTTTTGTAGTGGTGGTTTTGTGGTCACATATTGTTTTAGTTTCTGCTTATCATGGAAGACTTTTATTGCTCCATCTATTTTGAATTATTTTGAATGATAGTTTTGCTGGGAAGAGTATAGACTGCTTTTCATATGCACTCTCCCATATGCCTATGGGCCCACCTCAGTTACATGCCTTGGGATGTGATCCAGGCCCCTGGCATTTCCATCCCATAGTTCTGGAACTGGGACACTAGGGTGATACCATAAGGGAACTTTCTTGCCTATGCTACCACAGAGATATTTCCCATCAACTTTCTGAATGCTGGTTGCCTAGTTTGTGGACAAGCAGCAACAGCACAAGAGCATTTTGTCCCCAAAGCTTCTAGGCATATGGCCACATTTATCCTTGAAGCCACAGACACGTCTAAGCAGGCATACTCTCACACACCCAGGTTCCTACGTGCACCCAGGAATGGGTAAATGAGAAATTTCCACCATCGTGGTGGACTGCCCATCTCCCTGGACAAAATTAAGGCTCTCTTACTTCCTTTTCTCTTTGCCCTAATCATTAAAACCAACATCAGGAAAGGCCCCAACATGACAGCATTTATAATTTCAATGACATGCAGACAGAAGAGGAGAGCTGCTTGGCACAAATGTGTGAGCTGCAGGTACAATGTTTTCTCTTCTCAAGGCAGTCTGCACATTTCCTCAAGCTCTCCATCAGGGAGACAATGTTGCGTGTCTCCAGGTCTATGTGCTCCAAGGCAGACCTAGGCCTCTAGCTCCAGTAGAAAATGGGCTCCCTCTCTGCTCCACCTTTGGCCAAGCAGGACTAAGTTGGCTTTCTTTGGGGTCTTGGAAAAGAATGGATGCCACTCTCTTCATGAGCTTCAATAAAGCACTTAGATGCTATGCATATATCCCCTTTGATATTGGGCATTTTAAAGCAATTTGGGGTAAGCATCTTCTATACCTGTCTTTATTCTTTCTGAGAACATCAATGAGATCTGAGAAATGCCCATGTATGTCATATGTCATTTGTTCTTCTGTAACCTAGGTTTATAATAAAGACCATTCTATTTGGGGAATGTATATTTGTGTGTGTGTGTGTGTGTGTGTGTATGTGTATGTGTGTGTGTGTTTAAAGGAGTTTGGAAGCAGTAAACTAGGGTACATCTTTCCCACGTTAGAGAAGCTGACACATTGGGCAGGTTCCAGATAGCTGAGCCCCTTCTCCTAGGCTTAGATCTCAGCATGGCAGGAGGCAGAACCAAGAACACTGTTATCAGCTCCAGAAGCTCAGGAGCCTACTTCCTCCTTCCAGGTTGGTACTTCTTGGGTTGTGCTATGTTCTGGGTCCTGGCCCCACCTGAGAGCATTGGCTACTGTTCTAGACCCTGAGGAGTTTGGAAAGTCCCACTCCATCGCCATCTCCTGAGGATTCAGCTGTGTCCCTGACATCTTCTGTGGTATATCTCTGTTGGTCCAATACTGCCAATCTATTTTTAATTAAAATGGTTTGACTTTTCAGTGTTTATTCTAGAAAATGTAAAGAAAAAACCCACCTATAATCCTAATGGCTGAGACAAATGAGACAGTATATCTTTAATGCAAAGTTCTCTTTTTTTTTTTTTTTCACTTGCATTGTGCTCAGTAGCTTCTGAGGCTAATACATTCCTATCACCACAATTACTTTAGCAAACCTGGTCCCACATCAGGCAGAGCTAGTCCTAATGTTCATTGAGTTTACATTCCTCCTCCTCCTTCTCATCCTCTTCCTTTCTCTCTCTCTCTCTCTCTCTTCTTGCAGTACAGAGGTTTGAACTCAAGACCTTATACTTGTTAGGCAGGCACTTTACCACTTGCACCATGCCCCCAGCCTTTGTACTTTACTTATTTTTCAGATAGCTCTCCCCCTCCCCCTCCCCCCACCCTTTTTGGCAATTTGAAATCTGAGCCTTGTGCTTTGCCCTGGTCAGTGTGAGATCTTCCTACCTATGCCCTCCCACATAGCTGGGATGACAGACATGTACCACCATGTATAACTTATTTGTTAAGATGGAGGTCTCACTAATTTTTGTTCAGATTGGCCTCAGATGTCAATCTTCCTGAGTAGCTGAGATTACCTTTATGAGCTACTATGCCTGGCCCTCACTATTTCTTTATATACCACCTCTGCTCTGGCTGGTGCATGAAGTAAGGCTTTGAAATCTGTCCTTACTCTGGGAACCTAGTATGCTGCAGATGACTGGGCTAGAGCATGTGGTTGGTGCAATTGCACATTCTTGTCCCTGCTGCACCTCTGGCCCTCAGAGACATTGCCCACTCCACACCTGCCCCATTCAGAGAGCTCCTCACTGTCCCTAAGGACTTATCCAAAGACACTGAAGAGTCTGGGGAGCCTGTTTGACTCCCCACTCTGGGCCAGAGTCTCTGTATTCTCTATACATAGACAACTTTGACTTACCCATCTCAAGACTAAATTGGCACCTTTATTGGAATGAATCAGTACCCCCAGAAAGAGTCATTTTTGGATTGTGAGGGATAGCCTCCCCACAGGACTGACCCTGTCCCCCATGCTGGACTGGGCCTGGAATTTATGTCCTGGAATTCATGGCCCTATATCTCTAGCCACTCAAATCAAACCCAAGATGGTCTACGGGCTTGGCCCTCAGTGAGTCAAACTGCGTCCTTCCTTGTGTCTGGGTTTCTTCAAGGCAGTGTTGGAGGGAGCACATGAGTCCGATTTGAGTTGCTCCAAGGCAGCATTGGAGAGAACACTTGGGTCCAGTTCCCTGAGTTGCTCTAAGGCAGTGTTGGGGAGAACATCTGGATGCAGTTTCAGAATTTGGACATTGAGAATGGTGTTCTTTGCAGCTTCCTCAGATACATCATCAGACATTGAATCATCAGCCATGGACCCCGTGATGTCCTTGCTCCTCCTACTCATGGGGTCATCATAGTGCTGGAAGCTGAGGAAAACAAGTGCTGAGAGACCCCTTCAACCATGCCCAGCTGTGTGAGAGAAATGGGGTTCTCTCATTGCTGTAGGTCCCCAGTTAAGCTTGGGCATGGGTCCAGAAGGGACTGTCACCTCCAGGACCAGGCCTGTTACATCTCTCAGCTCCAGCTAGACCCCTCCCTTTTCTGTGACTTTGGTGTACAGTTCACCATCTTGATCACTAGCACTTACTGAGCACCTGCCATACACTTGACCTTGGACGGACCATTTTATGTGGGGGTTATCTGCTCAAAAACCCTATGGGAGAGGAAGGCTGGATTATGTGGCTTTACTTCTCTGTGCCTCAGTTTCCTCATCTGTAAAATGGTGATAGCAACAGGCCCCACTTTGTTTTTGAAGACAAAGTGGGAGAAGGTGTGTATAAAACAGTACCTGGCACATGATAAATGCTCAATAAAGGTTATTGTATTACTTTTTCATTATCCCGTTCTGCAAATGAAGAAACTGAGTTTCAGATGTATTAGTTAACTTCCCTGTGCACATAGTAGGAGGTGGCAGCATGGAAATTCAGAAGTGAGCATGGTGGTGCTTCTATCCCAGACACTCAGGAGGGTCACAAGTTAGAAGCCAGCCCTGGCAAAGGAAATGGGGGTGACCCTGTCTAAAACACATAAGAACACAGAGAGAGAGAGAGAGAGAGAAAGAGTGAAAGAGAGAGAGAGAGAGAGACTGGGTTTGTGACTCAGGTGGTAGAGCATTTACCTAGCAAATGTGAGGCCCCAAATTCAATCCCAGTACTGCCAAAACAAAAATAGGATCCAGACCTTCTGGCTCCAGAGCTGTGATTTTCACCACTGCCCTCTTATTCTGCTGCATTATGCTTCCCTTCCTAACAATGGGGCACACCACATTCTTCAAAGCCCCACTCAAATGTCACTTCCTCTGTGTCATTTTCCCCAATTCCTCACATGCAAGTTCTTTCTTCCTTAGACTCTTATAGTCCTTGTACTTCCCACTGTCAGAGTCCACTAGTGATAAGTATTTCCATAATAGTTATCTCTTTCGTCTCCCCATAAACTATGGTTTGTGCAAGCTGGGCATGGTAGCACATGCCTGTAATTCCAGCACTCAGGAGGCAAAAAATGGAGGCTCTCAAGTTCAAGGCAAGGGCTACATAGCAAGACCCTGTCTTAAACAAACAAACCAACATGACTTGCTCAAAGATGGGGACTCTGATGCCCCAGCCCTGGCATAATGCCTCACATAGGTAGTTTCAATAGTGTTAGTTAGAGGAAGAGAGGGAAGGGAATAGAGTGGTGGAGAGAAGAAGAAAGCCAGAGGCAGTGACCTCTGAGGTACAGAGAAGAGAGCAAGGTAGAACCCCAGGCAAACTTCTGCCTCTCACTGGCACTCAGGGAGATGATGATGGGTTCCTGTTGGTTCAAATTTCAGAAGGGATAATTTTGCAAAGTACTCTCCATAGGGGTGCTAGGTGGAGCCCACTTCCCAAATGGAGTTCTTGGTTGCAGAGGCTAAGAAGCCAAGGTCATTAATCAAGCCTGGGCTCTCTATGGGGAAATAGGAGTCCAGTCAGGAAAGGGGACACTCTGAGAGTCCATTCCTGGAAGGAGAGAAGGGCAGGGCATCTCTGGAGAGCTCCTGGAGGGTATCCCCTAGGGCAGCACCCTAGCCCAGATACACAGATGGGGCAAGGAAGGGAGGATCTGGCCCATACTGGGTCAGAAGAGCCAGGCAGTGTGGGAGCAGACAGAGCCTGGGCTGGACTCAGGTGAGTGGCCACATCCAGAATTGCTGGGGAAACCACCTTGGACACAGACTGGCCCTCAAGTCACAGGCCCTTCTGTCACAGGAGTAGACAATGCCTGACATACTCTCAATGCCAAGGGCTTGAGATAAGGGGGTTTGCAAACCTACCTTGACTTTGAGAAGTGCTCCAGGCTGTCCAAGAGGGGCTGATCTTGTGTTTCTGGCAGCATGGAGGAGAAATACAAGGATACCATGGAGGTGATGCAGCAGAGAAAAATGGGCAGGAGGGATGGGATCTGTTTGGTGATTGTCAGGGATGAGATGGCTCCAGCTGACCAGGCCACAAACAATAGCCCCAGACCCGTAGCCCTGAAAGTGGAGGTTGACAGCTTGTCTGGAAGGTTTCTTGGTCCTGGAAGCCCAAGGTGGAGAAGCTACCTAAAACTTCACACCCTTTGTTCTCCACCCTGTCCCACCTCATTGTGTAATTTGGAGAATCGTCAGGAGCAGGATGGGTAAGAATGGCACAGCCTTGTGTGGTTGTGCAGAGAGAGGATACAGCCAGTAATGATGGGTAGCTGCCATCACCAAGGGTTCCTGTGGGGAAGGGGCTGAGCCTTAGGGTAGCCCAAACTCATTATAGGCAGTGGGTACAAGGCAGGAACTAGAGTCAGACCACCTCCAAATCTTAGCTCTGCCATTTGCTGTTTGACTTTGAACAAATGCCTTCATGTCTTTGATTTCCTTGTCTGAAATAGGGTTAGTGATGCAATCCAGCTTAGCACAGGGTGACAGATTGTCACCAGGTGAATGTTCAACTTAGCAGCTACATTTATCTTGTCATTTTCCTGTTCCCTGATAGTCCCCTCACCCACCAGACCCCACACCTGAGGACAGTGGGGAGGAGTTCAGCAGTGTAGATGAAGAACACAGTGACAGTGGCAGCCAAGCTAAACTCTCCGAACACAAGCACCAAGATGATCGCAGACTTCATCTCTGGGTGAAGACAGTATGGCCCCTCAGTCTGGGGCCATCTTCCCCTAAGGGCCCAGCATCTTTCCCTGAGTCTCTTACCAAAGACCTCTGAACTGACCCCAGTCAGCTAGTCAGTAGATTCAGACTTTCAGTCAGAAGAGGGTTAGTCTGTGGAAGCCCAGCCAGGAAGTTAGTACAACTGCAGTGGGAGAGTTGGATGGGGGTTAGGGGAAGCCCCCACTGGGACCCAAATGCCTTTTAGGACACTGCCCACCATGCTGGGCAAAGCCCTCCCATCTCTGCTTACAGGGCTCTCTCTGTTCCATGTCCTCACCCAGGTGCAGCCTCCTCTACCCCACCCTATTCCCCGTTGGTCATCACTGGCACCAGGCTCCCTGCTCAGGTCTCCAGCCTGGGTGCTACAAGGTGGACTGGCCAGGGAGTATTTTGGTCCTAAACTGGCTGGGATTGGTCCTAAACACTCCAGGGTGCCTTTGGGCAGCTAGATAGGGTCACCCAGGGAGAAATAAGAGATTTGGAATCTAGGGGACCAGTTCACAGTGGGGACAGCTAAGCTGGAGCCCCTGCTCACTGCCTGCTGAGCTTTGCAGCTCCTCACCTATTAGCCCCAGCCTCACTCCCATCTCTGCTCCCACCTTCTGTTGGCTCTGGGATGAAACTGAGATGGAATGTTTTTTGTCTATTGGGGATTTTTCTTCCTAGTTTATTAATTATTTAATACTTAAGTATTCCTGCTTTAAATATTTCTGCTTTTGTTTTAACTAGTCAACATCTGCCACCATCTGGGAGAGGAAGTATCTGAATGGGAACACACACAATTCCAGCCCCCAAAGGAAGGAAGAGAGTCCTTTGGGGCAGACTCTGAATGCAGCTCCTCTGCCAAAGACCTGATTGTTGCGGGGGTCTTTTGTGGTAATTCTAAGCAGGTGTATATTGACAGGACAGCCCTGTGCACCCCACCCTATGGCCTGAGTCATATTCATTGTCTAGGACTCTTTGAAATGTTGGAAATATTGCTAGCATTGAACCTCAGGAGCCAGGCAGTGAACTCCTGGGAAGGAGAGACCACCCTGCAAGAACTGTTCCTGAAGGTCCTGCTCAATGTCACACCCAGTTTTCAGTGAGCAGATTTTTCCTGAAGTCACAGATAAAAACAGCTGTTCCCAATCAGAGGGGCTACAGCTAGGAGCCAGGGCCTGGCTGTCATCTGTAGTCATTTAGTCACTAGATCAGTTTCTGATGTGGATTGGAATCAGGTGGCAGAAGGTTCTGTCCTCCCACACAAGGATGATTGCTCTGGACAACACACCCTCCTCTTTCAGGCCTGTCTTGGGATCCCTACTCAACACCTGTCCCAGATGGTCTGGGGTAGGCAGGCTGTGCACACAGGAGGACAACTCCTATGGGCCTAATTGGATTGCCAGGGCAGGAGGCACTGGGAAGGGTTTGAAGAAGCAGGAAGTCTGGAGGCAGCCCATTGGGTAGAGTGGCTGTACCTTGTGGGAGGAAAAGAAGAAACAAGTACATGATGGTGGCTTGGACAAGAGTCACAGCCAGGCTCCACTTCCTCCCAATCTGCTCAAGGAGAAAGATGCAGCACAGCCGGGCAGGCACCTCCATGAGGCCAGGGACTGCCTGACTAAATTGAATGCTCACTCCTCCAAATTCTGTCATCTTGAGGCTCAGGGTAACATAGCTGTAACTGACGGTAAACCTGGAACAGAGAGAGAGAGAGAGAGAGAGAGAGAGAGAGAGAGAGAGAGAGAGAGAAGAGAATAAGGACAGAGGTGAAGAAAAAGAGGGGCGGGGTAGGAATGGAAGAGAAAAATAAACACAGAGACCTGGAAGACCTGGCCCTAGGCCTTACTTCTCTTGCAGCCTGATCATCCCATCCCCCATGCCCTCCCCAGAGTTTGTGGCCTGCCTACCAGCCCTGGATACTCACCACACACAGCCCATCACCAGTGTTGCCTTGTAGAGGTGCCTATTACTATAGAAGTCCAGGACGGAGGCTTTAGTCACCTTCTTTCCAGGTAGCTGCAGCTACAGGATAAGCAGGACCAACCAGAGGCAGGGCCTCACCCCCAGCTTACTCCCCACCCACACTGGACCTGCAAGGCCTGGCTTGCCCTCTCCTCCCCCAGTGCCAGCTGGTCTCTGGCCTTGGTCCAGAATGGCTTAATTTTGCTATCATTCTCCTCAAGTAGGGACTGGGGATGTCAAGTTTCTACTGAAAGGAGGAGAAAAGAGGCCTTCCCACAACCCTGGCCCCACTCCTGGCTGGAAGCCTCTTACCTCATTCAGCAGTCTTGAAGGAATGGTGGTCTTGTTCACACCAGCTGCATAGCACAGCACCTGTTTGGCTTCTTCCACCTTCCCTTTTGTCATCAGCCACCGTGGGGACTCTGGGAGAATCCTGTGTGGCCCACCTCTCTCTTATCTCATCATTCCAGGATGTCCCAGAGACCCAAGTTGACCCATCCCAGTCCACCCTGTAGCCATCCTGCATGAAGTGACTTAGAAGACTCAAAGGCCACCACCATCTTCAAGTTGCCCTCTGCCCCTCCAAGTCAGGCCTTCCCATGTCTAAGCCACACACAGTTCCCACTGCTTCTCAGTGACTCCTGGCTACTTGCTGCCTCTGCCCTGTGGCCACCTTTATCCACAGTCATCAATAAGGGTGCTTTTCTTTCTTAACTCAGAGATATCTCTGATGCCCAAGGTGCGTCCTTTATCCCCACATCCTCTATGAGAGTCCTCCTGCTTATAATTAAGGTTCTTCCTGTTCCTCTCTGTCACATACACAGTGTGGAGAGTGAGCCTAAGTCTCACCCCAGAGTCTATCACCCTGCCTGGGTGAACAGAGGGGTGAGTGAAGCTTTCACTCTGTCCTATTTTTCCCCCTACCACATCCAATTGCCTTGACCTCAGAACAACTTTACCTCTTAGTTTTCCCCAATCCTTTCAGGCTGTCAAAATCCACACAGATTACCAGTTAAAGCACTTATTAAGTGCCAGGAATTGTGCTTGGCACCCTTGTATGAAGCATCTTGTTTATTCCTCACCAAGCCCCAGTCTGAACATGACAATCCCATTTTATTCCCAACCTCAGGGAATAAATGTTTGGCCAAGGTCACAGAGGCCGAACTAGTATAACCTGGTCCCTTGCCAAGGCACTGTCTACAAAGCTAGGTACCATCCCCTGCCGATTTCTCACACCACCACTCCCTCCCCAACCTGGGTATCCAGCACACTAGAGACAACTTCATCTCCTCAGCCCTGCTCCCATCCTCTCCACCATGGTCTAGCAATCAGCCATCCTTTTCCACTCTGAGGCTGTAGAACTCTCCTAAAGAAAGTCATCAAACTGAGACATCTTCAAAAGAGAGGAGACTGACCATGTGCCCATTAAAAACAGGAATAGTTGGGGGCATGGCTTAAGTGGTAGAGTGCCTGCCTAGCAAGCACGAGGCTGAGTGCAAACCCCAGAACGACCACCAGAGAGAGAGAGAGAGAGAGAGACAGAGAGACAGAGAGAGACGAACTGTCAAGAGGATAGCGGGCGAGATATACCAAGTGCACCACAGCTCAAAAGTGCACGGAGTACTTCTGAGTCAGCAGGTGCTATGGTCTGGGTAGTTGTGTGCCCCAACTTTTTTTGTGTGTGTGCAACTCAGGCCTTCATGCTTGCAAAGCAGGCACTCAACCACTTGAGCCATAACTCCAGCCCATTTTGCCCTGGTTATTTTGGAGATGGAGTCTTGTGAACTCTTTCCCCAGGTTGGCCTTGAAACTTGATCTTCTTCATCTCAGCCTCCCAAGTAGCTAGGATTACAGGAATGAGCCACCAGCACTGGGCTCACAATCACATTTTGAAACCTTTCTCAGTGCAATAGTAAGTATTAAGAGATGGGGCTTTTAGGAGATAACAAGGCTATAAGGGCAGAGCCCTCATGAACGGGATTAGTGGCCTTATAGAAGAGGTTCAAGGGATCTCATGGTCCCTTCTGATATGTGAAAACACAAAAGTTGTCACCTATGAGAAACATGCCCTGGCCAGACACAAAATCCACTTGGGCCTTGATCTTGGGCTTGCCAGCTCTAGAACTGTAAGCAATGTTTCCTTTTCATAAATTAACCAGTCTAAGGTTTTTTGTTATAGCAGCCAGAACAGACTAAGATAGCAGGCAAAACTCGTGCCACACAGTATTCTTTAGGAGATATGGGAGACTGTCCTAGTCCCAGAGGAGCATGGACACTAGTTCTTTCAGATGGGACTGCTCCATTCTCTCTATAGTTTGCACTGACAGCATAAGGAAGGCTGAGAAAGTAAATACAGCAGAGGCAGGAGCTGAGGTCAGACCTGGGGGACTGCCAGGAAGTTCTCCAGATGATAGCAAGAATGCCAGCCCCCAGCCTCACAGGGAAGCACAACAGCCAGAGCCAGTGAATGAACCTGACTTTGGGATCCTTGGGAATGGATGCCCTACAGTAGTGGTTCTCACTGGGGAACTTGTTAGAGATGCAGATTCTTTGGTCAGAGGTGTGGCTCAAGCGGCAAAGTGCCTACTTTGCAAACAAGAAGTCCTGAGTTCAAACCCCAGTCCCACCAAAAAAATGCACCTTATCAGGTGTCACTCAACCCTGCTGATGCAGAAACTAGGGGTGAGGTCCGGTCATGTGTGTGCATGGGGGCGGGGTGTGATCCTGGGGACTGAATCCGGGGTCTCGCTTATGCTAAGCAAGTGCTCTACTACTGAGATATACCTCCAACTCCTTTTCTTAATTTTTTTTAGACAAGGCCTAACTATGTAGCCCAGGATGGCCTGGAACTTACAATTTTCCTGCCTTGGTCTCCTACTTGCCTGGCAGTAACAGTGTTTAACAAGCCCTGTGTGATTTTGATGCTTATACAAATTGAGGACCATTCCCTTACAGGGTGCCAGGCATGCACCACCTCCTCACAGTTTCCTGATACCTTTTTAGTATCTAAGAATGAAGGACAGCCAAAGATCACTGGGATACTGAAGAAAACCTCCCAGATTTAGAAGAATTCAAAATAATTAGAAAGAGTGGCCTAGGAGGCCACAGAGAATGCTGAGAACAAGAGGAAAAGAGAAAACAAAATTCTGATTTGTGTTCTCAAGAACATTTGAGAATGTTTTGCAGTTTTATATTCACAAAAATCCAAATGCTTATTTATTTTATTGGTAGTGCTGGGTTTGAACTCAGGGCCTCACGCTTGCTAGACAGGCCCTCTACCACTTGAGCCACTTCACCAGCATCCCCCACTCTCAAATGCTCTTGAAAAAAAGGAAACCAGTGAATTGGAACAGCCATGTGTCAGAACATTAGTCAATCTTTCTGTCCTGGAATTTCAGCTGATGTCTCAAAGCCTGAGACAATGGATGAAAACCTCACATTCTAAGGATAGGTGTGACCACATCAAAGACAGGACTTTGTAGAAAAATAGTAACACAGCCCATTGGCCACTACCTGTCCCCTATGCAGGCTGGAACCTCCAGCTCATGAAAGTGAAAGAGTCTTGAATGCCCTCTCCACCCACTTTGCTCTCATGTACTTCAGCTGAGTGAACTCTTTAGCTATGAAGACTGCCTTCCCAAAAGGGAGTCCCCTCCCACTCTCTTACTGGAGTTTGCTGACTCAGAACCCTGAAGCCTTGCCCTGGTGCCCTACACACTAAGCGAGCTCGCTGAGGGCTAAAATGTGTCTCCTGAGGATTGAAGGCTACCCAGCCCTAAAGAAGGGCATCCCTTCCTCATCTGACTACTATGAAGGTTGCCAGCTGGTGGGAGTAGCCCTGACAGGGCAGAGATGAGGACCCTGCTATCTTGAAGAACTCCATATGCTAGGGGGAGAAGACCCCTACACTTGCTTTTTTTTTTTTTTATGATACTGGGGTTTGAATTCAGGGCCTCCACTTGCTAGGCAGGCACTCTACCACTTGAGCCACTCCACCAGCATAAAGCTCATTGTTTTGTTTTGTTTTGTTGATGGGGCTGGGGTTTGAACTCAGGACCTCATGCTTGCAAGGCTGGTGCTCTACCACTTGAGCCACTCCGCAGCCTTGGAGACCCCTATACAAAGAACGTGTGGGGTGAACTACTAGGGTAAGGAGCTAGGGGGGTGTCACAAAGAATGCAGAAGTCATTAGGAAACTCTAATGCTCAGAAGATCCACAAATGGGCCCTGAGAGCACTCCAGAGGACACATACAGATCAAAATGGCCTGGTCTTTTCTCTGATGCCTCCATCCACTGCTAGAACCTGGAGAGTTAAAGCAAGGAGACAGGAGGAAGAAGAATGGGCACAGCAAACCTCTTCCCCTTAGACCACTAGCCTGAGCTCAGGACAAGCCCCAAACTGTGGATTTGATAGAAGGCTGAAGTTTCAAATCGGAGTGATGTGGATCTTCTCAATGCCTGAAAGCAAATCTTTTTTTTTTTTTTTTGTAGTACTGGTTCAAACTCATGACCTACATCTTGAGCCACTCCACCAGCCCTTTTTTCTGATAGGTTTTTTGAGAAAAGGTCTCATGAACTATTTGCCCTGGCTGGCTTCAATCTTGATCCTCCTGATCTCTGTCTCCTGAGTAGATAGGACTATAGGCGTGAGCCACTAGCAGTGCCTGGCTCATGAAAGCAAGTCTTAGTGATCAAAATGAGACTTATTCTTACAACTAAGAGTGACTGGAACCTACCCAAACATTGTCAAGTGTCAAGGAAGAAGCAGCTGATACGACTTGCCCAGAGGCACCTCAGTGAGCTCAACCTAGTCAATGAGGTTCTACTCCAAGTAATGCAGAGCCCACACATCATATGTCAGAAGGAAGAGCTAAAAATGTTCAGAGTGAGGGCTCTGGAAAAGGAACAAGAGGCTGGGCAAGAGGAAATCAGGGAAACCTTTTGGTTTTCAATCATATGTACCTATCACATTAATAACATTCAAAAAATGATTTAAAGTGAAGTCATGCACGAACTTCTTTCAGTTACATGACTAAGACATGTCACCTTACATGAGGGTCCCAATTCACTAGGCATCTCAAGGATTGTCAAAGTTGGTCTGTAACTTCTGCAGAACTGGTAAAGTCCCCAAGCCACCTATGTGCTCTAACCCCACCTCTTATGGTCTATCCTGTGTACAGTGCAGGTGTTAAAACTCAGAAGCTTTTGGAGCCAGACAGACTGAGTTAAAATCCCAGGTCCCCCACTTTTTACCCATGTGGCCTTAGACAAGTTATTTCTACTCTCTGAGACCTCAGTTCTCCCCCTCACATCCATCTGTTAGGGTTGTAAGGGTTAAATGTGATGATGTCAAGATTAAATATGACCATTTCCTCATGCCAGGCAGCTGCCTAGCCCTTGAGTGAGTTATTTCAACTCCCTTTCTCTCACTTCTCTCTGCCACTCTGCTTCCCATTGCCCACTATGAACACTGCCATGGTATTCCTGCCCCTCTTTCCTTACTCTTCCAAGCTTTACTCCATCATTTGCACCTTCATAGCTTCACTCTCTCAGGTTCCTGTCTGTGCCTCCCTACAATCAAAACATCAGACACCTTGCCTAGTTCTGCCTCAGCTGCCCATACTAGCCACCACTGTCTCCTTTCCTCAGAAGAGTTATTTCCTAGATGACTCCATTTCTGCAGCTCCTACTCATACTTCAAGCCCTGCCTCTCCCCTAAAGCCACATCAAGAAGGTCATCAAAACCAGCTCAGCCTTCCTCAGCCTCAATTCTTCTTGTCAACCCTGACACTCCATTGCCGAACTCTTGCCTTTCAACACTCTTCTTCCCAGTCTTTGACACCTCTTTGAAGGGGTGAACTCTGGGGTTCCGGATGCTCTGCTCTTGGCTCCTTCTCATCTTATCCACTTGTACCTTCTCCCAGGTAACCCCACCCATTTCCATAGCAATCCATTTCCACCCATCAGACCCATCTGTGCACACCCTGCATTTGCGTGCTCACCAGATATAAGAGATGAGGGGGAACACAGGTGCCCCGCCCACCAGAAACAGCAGCCGCCAGTGGGGAAGGCTGTAGGAGAGTGCCAGCAGGAACATGACCCCCACGGCGATAAAGCAGTGCTCCAGGATGATGGCATGGGCCCGGTGCTCAGCCACTAGCCACTCAGTGGCTGTGCAAAGGCCAAAAGGACAAAACCAAGGTCAGTGCAAGATCTCTAGGCTGCCCTTGCACCCATCCTTCTGACATGCCCTGCCGTGACATGCCCTCCTGATCTGTACTAGGTCTGAGATATCTCTCAGAACCAGACAAAGTACCTCTGTGCTCCCAAGGTGCACCCCTGTCCTTGCCTGGCCTCCCAATCACATATCTAGCCATCCATTCCATCTTGCCCTCTCACCTGACCTTTTCTCGCAGAGAAGGCCTGTTCTAGGCACCATACCCACATGTGGGCTGACACGCCAAGGAATCACTGTCCTTGTCTTTGAGTGCATTTGTGTTTGGATCCTAGGCCTAATGCTCTGTGGAGGACCAGTTCCCTCAGGCTAGGCTCTGGCAGTCTCCCAATGAGAATTGGCCTTCTGCCTCCTGAGCACACCAGGGACTTCAGGTATAAGATTCAGTGTATACGCACTGGGGGCTTTAGCTTCTTCCTGCTGTATGACCCAGCACAAGTTGGTTAACATCTCTGAGGCTCAAATATCCTCCTCTGCTAAAGGAATAATAGAAGAGTGCCTTCTGAATAGAGTGTCATCAGGGAGAAATGAGCCAATGCATATAGTAGCTCCCTTGACCCTTAACAACTCAGAAAATATAAGCCATGTAGGGGCACACAAAGAGCATGTGGGGGCATTATGAGGTGCGGGGTACTGCATGGAGGGTGAGGTGTGGAAGGGCACTCTGATAACTGATTCTCTGGCATCTCCAGGCAGCTAAGAGAGGGACCCATTCCCCTCGTACCTTCTCTGGTTGGGCCCTGTGTCCTGCTGGCTTCCAATATGTTTGTGCCATCTCATTTTGCCTGGGGCAACCCTGCCCAGCAGCCGCCACCCCGACTTCCTGCTCTGTGTCCCTCCTCCCATCCCACCTGCCCTTGAGACCCAGTCTCACCTAAAGACAAGCTGCCAATGATGTAGCCTACCACCGCCTGGGAGACAACAAAGCGGAAGAACAGGTACTGGTGAAAGCTGTTCACGAAGGCTGTTCCAAAGCCGAAGATGGCCAGGCCAAGCAGCGACAGTAGGATAGTAGGATAGCGGCCCAGCCTATGTGTGTTGAGGGGAGACTGCACCAAGTGTCAGACCTCCTGGCCAGCCCCAACCCAATGCCCTGAGCCCCAACCCATGCCCTGAGCAGCCCCAGGGCCCTGGAGCATCCCTACCTTTGCCACCCCCAGCTTGAGCTTCTTCAACACAGAATACCCTCAAGAAGGAGGCAGGGTGCCCCAGGGACCAGTGGGAACTCCAGGAAACTCACTTGTCACATATGAACCCGAAGATGAGAGACCCTGTCAGGAGGCCCGCCATGAATATGGCCTGCACAATTTCCTTGTTTGGTTCCTTGCCACACACTAGATCAAACTGGGGGTTAGACAAAAGGATTGGCCACAGACCTTCACCCAGAGCCAGCCTTTTGGGTCTAGAGAATGAGCCTGGTCTGAGTGGGACCCTTAGGCAGAAAGCATCTGGGAAATGTGCAGGTCACTGTGTGCAGGGTGCCTTACTTCTGTCCTGCACCCAGAAGACCCTGGAGGTATAGGCCTGGAGAGAGGGACCAGGGGCACAGGCCAAGAAGGGAGATGAGTGGGGAGGTAACTGAGCACAGGCATGAAAGTAGGCTCTGGGCTCAATCTGGGCACATCTGTACAGGTCTGAACTGGAAAGGGCCCAGGTCTCACAGATTGTGAAACCCTGTGAGAAACATCTGTTGGAAGGTCTTTTCTCATCCCAAGCTTCTGTGAGTTTAGGGGGAAGAGCCACAACCTCAGAAGCAATTCTCTGGAGAGATAACAAATCTGCCATCCATTCCCCGTGTCTTCCCCAAGTACACTTGAACGTCCAGGCTAAGACAGGCAGGGCCAGGGGTGGGCGGCAGGAATCCTAATTTTGTTTCCTGGCCTGCTTCTGCAGGGTGACCTCAGGCCAATTGCTGCCTCCTGGCTATGTCTGTGTTTGCAGGGCTTAGCTAGAGACAACCCAGGACAAAACACACCTCATTGATCAGTGATCTCATCTTGGAGTTAGGATAGATCCACCCATGTTGGCATGTGTCTGTATAGTTGAGGCCAAATTGGATGATAGAATCCAGATCCCAGTTCACAGGCAAGTACATGAGGCAAGTGAGGAAACTGCCATTGGGTGCTCGGGGCAGGGTCAGATTCAGCTGCTCAGCCTCTGAGAGGTTGGGGCCCACTGCCAGGATCCAGCTGGTGTTGCAATAGGGCATCTGTTCTACCAACGTGAAGTGATCGACAAACATGAAGAAGGCTGCCAGGATGTTGGGGATGAAGGTGAGGGCCACCAGCCTCTGCTGGAATGTCCCAAAATCCCCCACTGCATGCAGGACTTTGGCAAACTTGTCATCCTGCTTGTCTTCTACAGCCCTCAATCTGCGTAACAACATCTCCAAGGACCAGGACGGGGAAGTCACTGAGGTCTCATGCCAGTTTGAGTTCTTGGAAACAGGGGATCTGAGCTCTGCCTTGGAATTCTTCTCTCCTTCCATCTGTTCAAAGAAAGGATGCAGCTGAGTGTCTTGACACCACTTTCCAGACATCGGATACCATAGCCACTTGACCAGGAATAACTTCTACCTTGAAGCACTGTGGAGTCCATGATTTCCTCATTTCCTTCTCATGTTTCTTAGTTCACATAACTTGCCCCTCCTTGGCTCAACCATCCCTGATTTTTTAATATAATGAAGATTTTTAATGTTTTAAAAAATGTTCTTCTGTTGTCATGAGTGACCAGACTTTGAGGAATTCTCTTGCAACTTCCCCACACTGAAATTATTTAGACATACACTGTCACCACTGGAATTGCAAAAGGTAGACATCTTTAGTGATCCTTCCTTCAAAACAAACATCTGCACCAGGAGTGGCTGAGAGCTGGGGTTAAGGTGAACCTTGGCCACAGAGTTGGGAGGCCAAAGCTGCAATACGGGCCACCAGAACTGTGGGTGACAGATACTTGCACAGAGCTCTAGTGTAGAGGAAGGTAAGGGCAAGGAGGGAGGTAAGCATTACTAAGGATAAGAAACTAAATTTAACATTCTGTTTTCAGCCAAAACCTTCCACAGGGCTGAAGAGGTCCTGGGCCAGGGCATGTCTGGGCCACCAGCAGAAGCAGAAGCAAGACTTCTCTGTGGAAATCTTCTTCTAGTGGAGGCTGCAAGACTCTCAGAAGTCAAAATCAAGCAAAGCAATCATGGCCTGAGAAGCAAAAAACTCTGAGTCAATAGAACTCAGAGAGGACAGACAGACCACAACTGATGGAACTGTCAGATAAAGAACAGAGAATAACTAGCATGAAAACTTTTCAAAGAAATAAAAGCTGCAATTACTAAAATGAACTTACAACAAGAATACAAGAATCAGGGAATAGCAGACACCTTCAGAATGAAGAAAGCGAACTTCTGAACATGAAAATGGGTAACAAGTTGTTGAAATAAAAACACTAAAAAGAAGGTTTAACTGACTCAACACAAGGAATTTAGTGAGCTGGACTATACAACGGAAATGTGAGAGCAAGGTAAAGAAAGCTGGTATGTAGAGGACTTGACATGCATCTAATTGGTACACCTGGAGAGAAATAAAGAAGTAATATTTAAAGAGATAAAAACAATATGGTGGCCCACACCTGTTATCCCAGCTAATTGGCAGACAGAGGTAGAAGGATCTCCAGTTTGAGGCCAGTCCAGACAAAGTTAGTGAAACCCTATTTCAAGAACAAAATACAAATGAAAGGACTGGGGTTGTGGCTCAAGTGGTAAGCACCTGTCTGCTCTGCATGAGGCCCTCTGTTCAATCCTCAGGATGGAAAAAAAAAACTAATAATTTTCTAACACTCAAAAAACATAAATTGTTAGATTCAGGAAACACAATTTTACACAATTTATCTCTAGCAGGATTAATAAAAGGGAACCCAGGGCTAATATATTTTAATGAAGCCTCAGGACCCCAGTGACAAAGAAAAGGTCTTAGAATCCAGCCAGAGAGAAGACAGGTCATGAACTAACAGCAGCACCTCCGAGGAAACTGAAGATAGAAACTTATGCCAGCCTGGAATTGTATACACAGCCAAATATATTAAGAACTAGGGTAAAGTAAAGACAGATATAGATAACTGGAAACTAAGATCATAAAAGCAGGAGACCTGATTTAGTGGAGTTTGTAAAACATGGAAAATGACCTCAGGAGGGCAGCCTGAGATGCAATAATAAGTGACCAAAATAGTAAATTTAGAAATTAAAATACTAATAATATTAGATAATAAGAATAAGAAAACTGTGGAGTTGAGAAGAAAAAGGTAACATGATCAGGCCGAAGATGAGAGAAACTACCCTAGAACATTTTATTTTCCAGGGGTTTCTGTTGTTCAGCAGGGCAATCAAGACTTTGAAGTTACATTTGCACGATAAAATTTCAAGAATAACTACTACAATAAGTGGAAAATGTAGACTAACGGGAAAAATTAAAACAAAACCAGAGCTTTAGTCCATAAAAATTCAAGGAAAGAGAAAAAAAACATTAAAAAAGTGGACTGCTGTCATTGTGATTGGCATAATGAATAAAAGCGATTATCACAAGTTAAAATGATATGGTTGGATTGAGCTTTTTAAAAATTAAATTAAGAGGTCAGACCAAGATAGCAGCTAGGTAAGATCCTTGACCAATTGTCTCCCCACAGAGGCACCAATTTGAACAGCTATTCATACACCAAACTATCTTTTCAAGAGCTGGGGAAGCCAGGTGAGAGACCATTGTAATAAGAGATACTTTGAGTCAGATATGATGCCATATGCCTGTAATCCTAGCTACTTGAGAGGTGTAGATCTGGAGGATTGCAGTTTGAGACCAGTCAGGGCAAAAAAAAAGTTAGCGAGACCCCATCTCAACAAACTAATAGGATGTGGTGGTACATGTTGTAATTCAAGCTATATAGGAAGCACAGATAGGAGGTTTGCAGTCCAAGGCCAGCCCTGGGCAAAAATCATGAGATTTTATCCAAAACCTTTTGTGCTTTAATGCATAAAAGGGCTGGGGGCATTACTCAAGTGGTAAAGCACTTGCCTAGCAAGCATGAAGCCCTAAATTCTATCCCTAGTACTGCCAAAAAAAAAAAAAAAAAAGAAAGAGAGATGCTTTGAACAAGAGATGAAGGATGGAGCTGCCCACATCAACCCTCCCCCAGCTCCAAGAAGTGCAGTATGGAGAAACTTGTGAAAGGGAGAGGGAATTAAGAAGTCCAAGCCTTAGACTTGAAACCCAGTACCAATCCTGCCATGGTGAAACCCAGTTCCAGCAAGAGCACTATGGCTCCTGCCCCAAGGCCAGTATCACAGACTGAGCATCTGGGATTGTGTTAGCAAGATGGCCCCAATCTGAGACAACACAGTGAGGAGAAATACCCTTCCCACTGGGGAGTGGGGCAGGACAGTGAGTGCAGGACTAGATATTGCAATGCCCAGAGAACATGACTGCCATAGAGAAGGGAACTAATCAATAGCATCTGCCATTCCAAATCTACAGATCAGCCCTGAACTGGGAGGGACATGACCCCATGAAGTACTTGGGCAGCCCACCCTGAGCAGCTTGGTCTTTAGAGCTCTCAACAGTTTCTTCCTCTTGCTTCCCCACAAAGCAGCTAGGGGACCATGTTCACACACCTTCAGTCCTGGGGAGCTGCCAGACAGCCCTACCCAAGTTGGGCAGCCTGTTTTCTGAAGCTCACCCACTGAGGCCCCAAAAAGATGCTGTCTTGCCCATCTACTCTTAGCACCTGGGAAGACCTCTCTGAGTAGGTTGGCCCCCATATGTCCCATGAAGTGATCCATGAAGCTCCAGACATTGACAGATGCTCTGTCTGGACACACTGGTACAGCTTGGTCCCCATATGGCTTTCAGACACTGACAGGAACACAATGCCACTCATGGGCATACCATACTGCTCCCACCTGCCCTTCATTCATACAACATGTGGAAACTGATAGGCACCCACACCTGAAGCTGGGCATACCATGGTCAGATGTGCTGGCTAACTTTCTCCCCTAAGGGGGCATCCCAGCAGGTTGTGTGATCCCACAACCCCCACAGCAAGCTCTGAGATACCTAGGACATTGCCAATGTTGACTTCATATTTACAGGTTGTAGTTTTTTACTACAAAAGCCACCTTATAGGGACACAAGAAGCACTAAAAACAGGTAACATGACAGATCCAAATGAACATAATAACTCTTTAGCAACAGACCACAAAGAAGAGAACATTGAGAAAACCTCTGACTGATAGAGAACTCAGAAGGGTGATTTTAAGAAAAATTAATAAGATACAAGAAAATAAAGACAGATGATTCAATGTCACTAGAAGATAATTTATGATATGAATAAGAAAGTCAGAACAGAAACCAAGATTATAAGCAAGAACCAACCAGAAGTCTTGGAGCTAAATAATTCAATAAATGAAATTCAAAGTATAGTTGAAATCCTCAACAGCAGAATAAAGCAGGAAGAATTTCTGAGCTTGAAGACAGCCCTTTTGAAAAAACTCCAAAGAAAAAAAAATTAAAAAGCATGAAGAAAGTCTTTGAGATTTATAGGATACCATTAAGCAAGCAGCATTCATGTTATTAATGTACCAGAAAGAGATGAGGGGGAAAAGGCATAAAAAATTTATTCAGTGAAATGATTGCTGAAAACTTTCCAAATATTGGGAAAAATATGAACTTCCCAGGTTCAGGAAACCTAAAGGGCCCCAAATAGTTTTAACCCTAAAAAGATCCCTTCTGAGGCATATTGTCAGTCTGTCAAAAATATGGGACAAAGAATTCTAAATTGGCAACAGGAAAGCATCAAGCCAGGTCTAGAGGAATCTCCTTTAGACTGAAAGTAGACTTATTGACAAAAACCATACAGGCCAAGAGAGAATTGAATGAAATATTCAACTTGAAAGAAAAAAAATAAGCCAGTCAAGAATATTATGCACAACAAAGCTTTTATTCAGAAATGAAGAAGTGCCTACATAGCAAGCATGAGACCCTGAGTTCAATCCCCAGGACTGTCAAAAAAAATGAAATGAAGGAGAAAAAAAGATATTATATGACCACCCAAAACCAAAGGAATTCATTACCATTAGATTAGCCCTATAAGAAATGTTTAAAGGAGTCTTACATTAGAAGCAAAGGGATAATTACCATTGTGAAAACAAAAAATATAAGACTCAACAATACAGCAGATACACAAATGACAAAGAGAATCAAACCCTATGACTAGAAAACCACTTTACCACAAGGATGAACACAGAAGAAGAAAGGACATGCTAAACAACCAGAAAAAGTAACAGAATGACAGTAGTATACTTTTATTTATCTATAATAACTTTGAATGCAAACAGATTCAGTTCCCCAATTAAAAGATATAGACTGGGATTGGGGGTATAACATAGTGGTAGAGTACTTGCCTAGCATGTATGAGGATGTGTGTTACATCCCCAGTATCACCCCCCACAAAAAAACAAACAAGCAAGCAAAAAAGTATGGATTGGCTGAATAGATTAAAAAA